GTTAACAATCCATGATGCAACCATGTTGTTGCATCTTCTCCAAGCACTGTGATACCTATCATCAATGGCTGGTTCTGGAGCACTTCCGTCAATGAACTCCAGTTTGTTTTAATTTATAAGTATAAAATATATTTAAAATGAATATTTTTTTTAAAAATTAATAAAACTGAGTCATACGATTCAATTAGTGACCCACCGGTTCAATCTTTGATCCACTGATCCAGTACCCTAAAACCGGTCCGATTTTTAAAACTATGATTTTTATTATTCTTCTGGCAGTTCATGTTAGCGTGTCAATGTTACGCCAACATGTTAGCTGCTACTTCAAAATATCAATATTACGTGATCTCTAATAGGCCACATTAGCAAAAATTAACTAGTAAGTTAGAAAAGCACAAAACTGTGAAAGAATAATTTTTAAACTACGTTTTATATATTTTTTAGTCTTTAAAAGTATATCTTTTATTTTATGTATCATAAAATTGCTATTTTAAATCTTTTTATGTAACCAAGAAATGTACTTCGAACCCTCGACTCGACAATGCATAAAATTATAAACCAACGTCTGTTGGTTTTAAAGGAGGAGACTCGAGACCAACGTGTATAAACTTATAAACCAAACATGTTAGATACCAAGATGCAGAAAAAAGTTTGTCAAAAGAATTTATGATATTTTAAATAAAATATGATAAAGATATACTTAAAAGCTAAGTAAGTGACGATATTATCAAATATGTATAAGGGTAATATTCTTTTACCAAATGCCTCCTTGGTAAAGAAGAAAAGATAAGTGTAGAAAAGTAAATAAGAAATAAAGTAAAAATAATGAATATTTAATAAATAATAAATAAATGGAAAATAGATTAAAAGTTTATTTTTTATTATAACAAATAAAAAATTATTTTATTGTTGTTAAATTTATTATTATATTTATAAATAAAATTATTAAAAAATAATAAATATATTTTTATTATATATTTATTTATTTAAAAAGAATACATCTTCCGAAAGATTGTCCAAAATATATTCTAATCCAGTGTATCAGTTAATAATTTAAATATAATAAAAAAATTAGTGTGTATTCAGAGGATATTTAGGATATTTCGATTACAATGTTTGAAGGATATATTATTATTATTATTATTATTATTATTGGAAGCATAATTTTTATAAACTACTCTATGTAATTAATATGATAGATTTACTTTAAAATAATTATTTATTATTATTGTCGTTAAAAGTTTACATTTTTCATAAAATAACTACTTAAAATAATAAATATTTGTTATTATTATTTATTTATGTATATATAATTGAACTCTTATTTTAAAAAAAGTAATTTTTTTTGCACTTTTCCTTATTTTTAAACAAATAAATATAAAAACATCTAAAGATAAGTTTTATAATACTGTCAAATGAGATTATTTTACTAAAAAAAACAATTTAAAAAAAATACATATCATTAATAAAAATCTATTGAAATCAAATCAAATATACAACACTATTCTTAAAAAAAAACTATATAATCAGAAGATTATCAACATATTAATTCTACCATTAATAATATAGATAAAATTATCTTAAAATTGTGAACATCAACTAAAACAACCCTTTTATTAATAGTATACATTAAATCAATAATTTCAAATTTTCTAATTATATTAATTGACACAATAATGTAAAGTTTTCAAGTTAATCTAACTATAAACAATATATCTGTCAAAAAAGAACAAAAAAAAAATGAACCACTATATTGCAAAAGTGCAATTTAATAATTATCCCGTAATCCAAGGCAAAAGTTATTAAACGTTTAATCACACATGGGGCTACTCGTAAGCCGAAGATCCAAAGACTAGTAGACATTCAAAGAATCAAATTTTATCAGTTTCATATCAACAAAAAAACACAGCATCTACTTCTTTAAATTGCTGGAAGATTAAACCCACTGAATGAGTACACAACATTTCCGGCCACGATGAGCGCATAAGGGGATTATTCACTGGGCTTTACAACAATATGCCATTGCCAGTAGGAACTTACTAGTTAATTCAATACTTTGGCCTTCTGAGTGGGTTATAACCTTTCAAACATTGGAATAAATATGGCAGTATGGCACGCCCAAGAACAAGAATAAACGCATCATCCAATCTAATGTAAATCACAAAATCCCAATCAAACAGGCAATGCCCAATCTTTTCCAATAACATCACACTATCAAGATGGTCTTGATACTTGATAGTTTAAATCAGTTTCAAAGAACGTCTGAACATCAATAATGATATTTAATAGTCGCAACAATTTCTGTTCAATCATGTCGTTATATCACTTCCACAAATCTTTGCTAAGAGTAAATCAAGCCTAATTGACCAAATAGTGAAACAAGATAATCGATAAAAACAATGGACAGAATAATTTTACACGGCATATTTCAGCAACATAACGAACAATGTCATCATATTAATTTGAAAACCCAAATTAGTATATATCAAACCTCAACTATAATGTCGTCCTAATATGATCATATCACATGCCAAGCAAGAAGATAAATTTTGTGCCAGAATTAACTATCAAATGTCAATTCAGCAAGAGTGACGGGCAATAAAAGAGTGAAACAATAAGGCAAAAGGGGAGACACAAACAAGATGGAGAAAAACCAAAATAACAAGTAAACATTCCTCTTGTCTAAATCCTCAATTGAACATAAACCCATGTTTAGATGTTCATAGCACTACAAAATCAAGTCGTATACAAATATAAATAGCCATCACTAAAAGAAAATCTAGGATATCCATAAAGTAACTTAAAGAAACACAAAAATTGACCAGATCACATCGAGAAAGTCCTTAATCGAACAAGCCGAATCCCATATCATCGTCACTCTCCTCTTCAGGCTCTTCCTATAAAAATGCAACACACAAAATACAAATTAGATAACCGCGAGCCAAAACAAGGCAGGATTCAACAACAGCAAGAACCAACATCTTCACTAAAGAGTTACCTTTTTCTTCTCCTCAGCAGCTGGAGCAGCTGCGGCAGCACCACCACCTGAAGCAGCAACTGGGGCGACTGCAACAGCAGCTGGTGCCCCACCTCCCGCAGCATTTGCTATCAAATCGCCAAGATTTTTCTTTTCGGCGAGTTTGGCAAATAAGGTGGGCCAATAAGAATCAACTTCAACCTTTGCAGTCTTCAGCAAAGCAACGATCTTATCGGCCTATTCATGACTTAAGGAACAACACGCCAAATTCACACATTCATTTGTGATAAACCTCAAATTCCACAACTTCTCTCCCGAGGAAAATAAAATACCCCCAAAATAACAAAACAGTTATTAAATTATACCCGCTTTTTGAATCAAAATAATGATAACAAAATCATCTGATACACTTTCTTCATCCAAAAAAAGAACATTTTGCTTTGTTATAATCAAATTATCCGGTACTAAAATCTATTCGGCACTCAACCCAACAATAGAAAATATAAACCAACGATAGAAACACTAAGGGACACTTACATCTATTCGATACCCAACCCACAATAGAAAATATAGACCCTAATTACACACAATACTCCAATTGAGTCAAAATCGAAGCCAATGATAGAAATACATAAGCAGAAACAAAAAAAATATCGAACAACCACGCACAATTTATCAACGCAAAACTAAAGGACACTTAAAAGGATACAGTGATGCCAATTCCATCTTCGTGAAGGATGAGAGCAGCGTATGAACAAGCAACTTCTCCAACCGACATTTTGAAACTGCAAATCAGTTAATTAAGGAAAATAATACATATCAGAATAATATTCGCATGAAAAAAACAAGTATTCACATAATATCGTCAAAGGTAATACATGCTACAAGAGCTACCTTCGGAGAAAGCAGATCGGAGCAACAGAAGAATGAAGAGTGCTTCTCTGCAGCCGCAAGTGTAGTCCGAGTTAGGGTTTGAGGGTTTAAAAGGTGAACAAAAACAGTTTATGGGCCTCATCGTTTAGGGCCCATATTTGATTTTCTTCATTGTGTCTTTCTTTTCTCTTTTTTTTAGACACCAGTCCACAATGGATTATCCATATTTTGTTTTCTTAATCAAAAAATTACTACATTGTACGAATATTTTACATTTAGGTTAAATTTTATAAATATAAATAAAAATAGAATATTTGAAATTATAAGATATGTGCATATTCAGTTTACGTTAAACTTATATATAATTACAAAATATGTGTATAATTACTTTTAAAGATTTGAGTTTTAAAAGAAGAGTTGATAAAAACATCTGCAAAAAAATATAAATAAAACATAAAAACTATTAAAATAATAAAATAATGATTCTAGTTTAATATATAAGAATTAGTCAAGTGAATTTGACGAAAAAATAATAATTTTAATTCTAATTAAAAATAAAAAATTAATTAATTTGAAATGTAAACAGTTAATTAAAATATATAAAAAATAAAAATAAAACAACAAAATTCAGAATATCATCAATCAAAAATTAAAACAGAAACAAAAAAAAAAATGTAATTTATAATTTGCTTTGACACTAGTTATTAAAATTAGTAAACTTACACCTATAGTAATTACTCTTGTATGTTAAATATGATAAACTAAAAGGCCAATCAAACTTTTCTTCAAAGACTAACTAATACATATCTTTAAAAGACAGTCATGCCTGAAAAAATATGATGACTATTGAGAAACACTCGATTTTTCTAACAATTGTTTCACACTTCATCCTTAATTCACCCCGATATATTAAATAAGAATATATGAAAAGATTTGTAGGAATTTCTCTTTAAAGAGAGTACTTTTAGACATATTTATTTGTTAAATTTTTTTATAAAAATTACTTTAAGTTTTTATCTATTTCAATTTGTATTTATCACATACATTTTCAAATTAAATTTAATATTTTAAAATAAACTATTAATAATTAAAAATATATTTTTGTCTAAATATAATTTTTTTTTACAAATATAAAATATAATTTATATGCTCAAAATATATTTATTTATTTAAATTGTAAATTAATATATATATATATATATATATATATTACTTATTTATATGTATAACTTATTATAAATTGGCTTAAATGTATTTTTCATCCCAATAAAATTATCAAGTTTTGATTTTAATTTTTATATAATTTTTCTTTATTTTTCATCCTTATAAAATTAAAATTATTATTTTTAGTCCTTATTTTTATGTAATTACTTTTTAACTACTTTTTATTTATTAAAAAAATTAAGTAACCATCTTAAGTATTATCTACAATCATTATTAATATAATGTCGATATTTAGCACCTTTAAAAAAATTATAAATTCTTAAAAGAAGTGTTATTTATCCGTCTTAAAATGATTATTAGGGACTAAAAATAGTTGATTTAAATTTTAAAGGGATGAAAACAAAAAAATATATATTTTATAGGGACTTATATGTGTGTATATCAATTTGTATGTATAAAAATTGTAGTTATTCTATTTATTTATAAAATAAATTTTATTACACTAAATCAGCATGATAAGATAAAATATAAGAAAAAAAAAGATATTTTGTTAAAGTAGCAAATAGTATATTATAATATAATAAAATAATATGTAATAATTTTAAATTTGTTTCTTCCATAGTTTAGGGACTCGAGTTTGTTTATGAAGAATTATGGCCATAACAATTGCTCAAGATGTCAACTTTGCAGATAAAGACTAAAATCGACATTTATGGTCACCATTCACGAAGCACATTGGTTGTTACTTGTCATAGTGCCTGAAGTTGGCCTTTTACTGATCACTCCAAGGTGAAAATTACGGTACACTCATACATCATATAGTTCATGGGTGAACCAATAAAACAAAGTATTAAACAAAGTATGTTTTTTATGTAGTTCACTGGAGGAGAAAGTAAGTTAGATATATATGAATAATTAAATTAAACGATTTAGATTTATTTGATGATAAAAAATTTAATAACTGTACCGTGGTGATCTCCCATTGGCCGACTCGAGGCACATTGACAAAATGCCAAGCCCATAATAGGGACCTAAATATGGGAAGATTCACTAGCTCACTCAGACAATCAATAAGATCCCACAATCCATGGGAACGGTAATAAATACCGGGAGTTACGAGTCCACAATGAGACGTGATTTATGAGATCATAAAGAGGAGTGTGCGATTCATGTCTGTAACGCTACACCATTATATATAGCAATGATTAGGTCTAAGAAAGGAGATTACTCTCATCAAATGTTCTAGGTTAAGACTACGGCCCGGTCCTTTAGCACGGTATCGCTAAGGGTTCCTCGGCGGCGGTCTTCTATACCGGAACATTTTGGCGCCCATCGTGGGGCAGGTAAAACTGCATCCCACACCTTGGTTGCCTTGTGTGATCGGAAGGTCACAATGCATAGGTTACTAAGGAGCAATAAAAACTATCGAGAAAGAAGAAGCATAAGTATGATCGAGGTCAACCAAAAGGCGTCAAGGAGATGCCATGAGGATTTCTGAGTTAGGTATTTGACGGTAACAAACGAAAGGAAAAAGGTTTCCGCGGCGGAAGGTTTTGTTGGAGTGCATAGAGAGAAGCATGGGAAGTAGATCGAGAAGAAGAGTAGTGCAGTTCGCGAACCTACCGATAAAGCTTCTAATGCCCAACAGCTTCACCAACATCCGCGAAATCGCCCTCAAGACCATCCCTTCCGCCACCAAGATCGAGATCAAGCGCGTCCTCGAGTCCCTCTACGGCTTCGAGGTCGAAAAGGTTCGAACCCTAAACATGGACGGAAAAAAGAAGAAGCGCGGTGGCTTGTTGATCGCCAAACCCGATTACAAGAAGGCCTACGTCACCCTCAAGAGCCCGCTCTCAATCTCCACGAATCTCTACCCGATCCGAATCATTGAAGATGACAAGATGAGGATGAGCAAGCAAACCAAGTCCAGCGTCGTCGAAGAAGAGGCCCACGCCACCACTCACTGGCTCGATCATAAGAAGGAGGCCCAACAACCCTTCGGGGCCCGCAACAACCGTCCACGTTTGGGCCACCCCGAGGCTGCTGCTATCGCTAAGTTTCCCTGGTCCAGCATGAGGTTTGCTAGTGGTTCCACAATTGGGTCAAATTCACAATCCTCTAAACATACACTCAAATTATAAATAATAAAACATATTTAAAGCAAAATATTTCATATTGACATGATAGCCGACAGAGGAAGGAAGAAAACAAAATGGAGACTGTAGCATGAAAAGACAATGACATTCACACCTCACTTTTCACCTTCTTTTTTCCCCCCAAATCCCTGGTGCTAAGCTAACCTAATCTAATATGTATAATCATTATGGCCACCACCGTCACGAGTCATAAGTCAACAACCATGCAAAGGCAAACATATGTAATTGTAATGGGATGTTATTAACTTTTAACATTGTGAGTTGTCATTACTTAAAATCTGCAACGAAGTATTAAATGATTTTTAAATTTTTTAAAAATTTACAGATTTGATCTATGCATTAAGAACTTGAAATTGAACGGTTGGATCATTAAAATTTAATATAAAATATGAGTTACTAAACAGAATAAGTCTAGGTATTACTCCGGAGTAAAAAGATCTCTCTCTCATGCGTCGCACAAGTCTAGGAACCAATATTTATAAATTTTTGTGTTGAATATAGAGTATTATTGCATGGCCGACTACATGAATCTAATCACTGAAAATTTTATTTTTTAATTAAACTCAGTGGCATCAAATAATAAAAATAAATATTTAATTATACTTTTTTATCACTTATATTTTATAGTTTTATAAACTTTATCATTAATTTTTAAAATTATATATATTACTACTTAATTTATAAAAATTTGCATATTAATATTTTAATTAATCACTTAAATCAATTAATTAATTGTTAACGTAACATTTCAATAAATAATAGTACATATTAATTATTAATGTAATAGGTTAATTGTTAACTTAACATGTTAATTGTTTATTTATTTATTTATTTTTGAAAAGATAAAATTTCATTAAGTAAAAATTCTTTTAATCATAAGACGTGATCAAGAGAGTTTTCAATATTATCGGTTTAGATTAAAGTACTTATAATACAAGACCAAAAGTAAAATAGATAATAAAAAAAAATCACACCCCAAATTTTATAAATAGATGAATCACTAAAAATTAATTATTTATGTTAACTATACGTATGACATTATATTTTATAATACCACACTATCCATTAATTTGATGCATCAACAATTAATATATCAGTAGATATGAAATTATGAATGATATTATTTTGACAAACTATTACGGTCTGTTTGGTATAGATAAATTGTGAAGAAAGGACAAAGAGGGGAGGGGGAGAGTGTGGAAGAGAGAAAATCTTGTGTTTGATGTAAGTGATTAAAGGAGAGAGTATGAAATTGGTGGTTTTAATAATTTTTTAAACACATGCTTAAATGAGTGGATTGGAAGGAAATAGTAAATTTTTATATTTGAACCCTGTAGACATAACGATCAATAGTATACGTGATATAATTATTAATAACGATAATCGATTATGTTTATTACATGATTGATTATGAAAATCAAATTTTAAGTTATAGTTATTTTCTATATTTATATAATCAATTACATAGTAAATATAATTGAATATGTGGACTCTTAAATATATATAATTAATTATGATTATCATCGATTATATGAACTTGTTTAATTAAAAATTATTAAAATAATAAACTTAATTATGAAGACATATATAAAAGTTAATTTATAATATCATTTTATTTTTTTATTTAATCAAATATAATATAATAAAAATTAACCTTTTCTTGGATTCTCTTTTACTTACTTTTATGATTTATCCAACAACTTAAACTTGGATTTTATTTGTTACTTTTCTTCCCTTTTCTTTTTCTCACCTATTCATTTTGTTTGTTTCCGCTACGAAAGAAAGTTACCGACAATCCATTTGCGATGTGTGTGGGCCGAGGCATAAGACAGAGACTAGGTGTGACTGTAACAATAACATCATGTCAACTTCAATTAATTAAGCAGTAAGCAATGCATGAACATGAACTACATATCATGTACAACTTTCACGGGATAAATTAGGATGTCACAAAGTAAACATGGTACAGATAGCTTGGCGATAATAATTTATTTTTCACCAGACGACGGTGCCCAGAAAAATAAAATTAGAGGCTAATGCCACTCCCATCTTGCTTCAGTTTTTTACTCTTCCAAGGAACCACCTGCTTGAAGCCATCACAAATACTCGTCTGCAGAAACCTTGGTGTGAAAAGAACTTTAAGGTCAGAAATTTAACGATCTAAACCTTGGTGTGAATAGCACTTTAAGGTAGGCATTTCGACGATCCAAACCTTGGTGTGAAAAGAACTTTAAGGTCAGAAATTTAACGATCTAAACCTTGGTGTGAATAGCACTTTAAGGTAGGCATTTCGACGATCCAAACCTTGGTGTGAAGAGCACCTTAAGGTCGGAATTTATATGATCAAAACCTTGGTGTGAAGAGCACTTTAAGGTCAGAATTTAGACGATCAAGACCTCGGTGCGAAGAGCACTTTAAGGTCGAAATTTAGACGATCAAAACCTTGGTGTGAAGAGCACTTTAAGGTAGGCGTTTCGACGATCCAAACCTTGGTGTATAGAGCACCTTAAGATCGGAATTTAGACAACCCAAACCTAAGGTCGACATTTTGACGATCCAAACCTTGGTGCGAACAACACTTTAAGGTCGGAATTTAGACGATCAAGACCTCGGTGCGAAGAGCACTTTAAGGTAGGCATTTCGACGATCCAAACCTTGGTGTATAGAGCACCTTAAGGTCAGAATTTAGACAATCAAGACCTTGGTGCAAAGAGCACTTTAAGATCGGCATTTTGACTACCCAAACCTTGGTGTGAAGAGCACTTTAAGGTTGGAGTTTAGACGATCAAGACCTTAGTGTGAAGAGCACTTTAAGATCGACATTTAGACGATCCAAACCTTGGTGTGAAGAGCACCTTAAGGTCAGAATTTAGACACTCAAGACCTTGGTGCAACGAGCACTTTAAGGTCGGCATTTTGACTATTCAAACCTTGGAGCGAAGAGCACTTTAAGATCGACATTTAGACGATCCAAACCTTGGTGTGAAGAGCACCTTAAGGTTAGAATTTAGAAGACCCAAACCTTAGTGTGAAGAGCACTTTAAGGTCGGAATTTAGATGATCAAGACCTTAGTGTGAAGAGCACTTTAAGGTCGGGATTTAGACGTGTAACGAGCACTTTAAGATCGGCACACTACTAGGAAAATATTATTTTACATCGCTATATTTACATCGGTTGTCTAAAAAATGATGTAAAATACATATGCGGTGGCAAACTTGTAATTAAGTAGAAAATATAAGTAAATTTACATTGCTAAAACTGATGTAAAAATGAAGTATTCTACATCGGGTTTCTTTACGACCGATGTTGAAGGGATGAACAATCTCCGCGCGGGCTGACACAGTTCCTTTAGCGCCTCTCAACACTCTGGCACACACTAGCAGCCCTATCTTTGTTCCTTCTTTCTGGTAACAAAGTGCCTTAGGGTTTTCTGGCAACAACGAAAATCTCACTCAATGCCTCCTTCCAAACACGCGCAATCCCCTCACCTACAATATCTAGGGTTTCTAATTGATTCGCTTGTCTCAACAAAGATTCGATCCATGGTAGGGATTCTCGCGTGATTGACGCTTGGCGGTGAACTCGGAGCCGGAAGCGGGCGGAGGCTTCCTCAACTGCCCCTTCATCATCTTCCTCTGGTCCCACCACTCGCTCCAGCAAGCGAGCGTCTCTCTTCTTCTTCCACCGCCACCACCGCCTCTCTTTCTTCCGTCAACACTCGTTCCCGTCCATCTAAACCTAAGGAACCCGCACCTCCCAAGAATCTCCCTCCCATGGACCCTACAAATGAATCCTCTGCTTCGCGCCTCTCTTTCCTGAACAGGCTGGCGCAGGTGCTGCGGCTGGTGCCGCCGCCGGTGGTGTTGGTGGTGGTGGAGATGAATGCGGCGTCGATGGATTACTCATGTTGATTTATGTTCCAGTCAGGAGGTTCATTCTTCGGAAGGATATTCGTTCCAGAATCCTCTATCTCACTCCTAACGCTATTGTTTACAAGGCAATTCATCTTCCATTTTTTATTTATTTATTTCTTTTTTGGGGAATTCATTTTACAAATTATTACCCTTTTTTTTGTTGTTGTGTAACTCAGGTTACGAGGCCCGTGCCGTTTTCGTGTTTTGGAGTGCTCAAGAAAGAGAAGCACTTTTTTTGCACTTTGTGGCCGATGTTGTCGTTGAACAAGGTTGGGTTTTTGCAATTTTCTTATGTGTTCTTCTGCTTTGGGTTCGCAAATGGGATAGTGTTGGATTTCATTAACGGTTAGGGTTCATTTGATTTGTTTAAATTCGTGCTAGTAGACAGGATAAAACAATTATTTTGTTGTTCATTTGTACAAAGATCATAAAACATGACAAACAATTGTGTTTTTGGATGTTTCATTTTATGTTTTTAAGCCTCCCAGGGTCTAGCAATTGTTCTATTGGTTTCGATTTTTGGTACCTAATTGATTATGTGTATTCGTAGGATACTTGCAATCACTTTTTAATGTCTATTCTCTTAGAATTGAAAACGTTGGAGTAAGAAGGCCACCCAGTGATGATGTTAAGATCCAGGGTGTTGCAAATCCAAATGCTTTCAGAAAGGTTTCCTTCTTTTTTACACATTCAAAAACAAAAGCTGTCATAGGAAATTTCATTTCACTGTTTTCTTGTTCCGAATCAAGTATGGGTTATTGTGGAACTTTTCTTTTGCATTGCTTCCATTTTTTACAGGCTGTTATGATGTGTCTATCGAACATGAGAAATGAGATTTTTTCAAGACAGGCTTCTACACTAGAAGATGTTCCACATAATCTGATGGTGAGTCATTCACCATGTAGTGCTATATGGGTTGGGAATAAATCTTTTTACATTTTCATCTTATTTGTATGTCTTTTTTCATGTTGTCTTTCTTTTCTTTTTAGATACTTGAAAGTGTTATGAATGATTGACCAAGTTACTTCCATAATTTTATTAAGAAAATATTAGTAGTGATGTAGTGATGA